TCTTGACCTGTCGATAGGTTCATGTACCTACTATTTGAACAGAATAACAACCTGTTTCCAGGCATTAAATTCTAAGCAAATTTCCTTACCAATTTAAAACTGCTTTTCTTGAAATTACCAGCTGAACTTGCTATTGAAAGTAGTTAGATTATTTATCAAATTGTGTGATCAATAAAATGTGAGAGGAAAAGGAATGGAAGACAACTGTAGACTCCAGAGATAGTGTGAGAAGAGGGTGGGAAAGGGCAGAGGGTCAGACATAGAGGTAAATATATATATACATACATACATATATATAAATATATATAAAAAAACTAGAAATGGAAAATTAGTGATGATAATATGCATGATTAAACTACTATGCAGTATATTCTGGATGGGAAACCACATTTTGTATGCTGTGACTAGGCTTAGGCAATGAATGTAAAATAATTAATTAAAAAAAAAGTTTCAGGAGGGAAAAAAATATGAAAACTGTTTCTCTTGAAATTAAAAACAGTGCATATCTGATGACTGCAGTAAGGTGCTACTTTATAGTATGTTCATTCTACTCACTGAGGTTTATGCCTAAAGTCAGACTTGTGTTCATGGATATGTATATATCACCTGCACTTGCTATTGGAAATATTTAGATTAAGTTCATTAGTGAATCAATAAAATGGAGGGAAAAGGCATAGAAAGCAAGCATGGATACCAAAGACAGTGTGGGAGGAGAGTGGGACATGGCAGAAGGTGACAGATAGGGAATCAAGGATGGGGGAAAAAAAGCAAAACATAAAGAAAACAAGAAATGGAAGATCATTTGCTGACAATAACATGTTTGTTGATGTGCTTGATTGAGACAATATACAGTGTACTCTGGATGGAAAATTTCATTTTGTATGTTGTAATGATGTACAGTGGATGAATGCAAATAAATTACATAATGTTTTAACCATAATTAAAATACTAAAAATAATTTAAGAGCCCCAATACAAAAACCCTCACCAATCCCAAGCAGCCAAGACCAGTATACATGTCCTACCTACACTTTTAATTAAAAAAAATTATAACCCATAACAAGTCCTGAGGCTATAAATATTTTTTTTTGGGGGGGGGAGAATTTTGCTATATGACAAGTGCACTTGCCAGAAAAACAGAGAGAGACAGAGACAGAGAGAAATCACTCCCTGGGCGGATGGCCACACCACAATCCCTTCTCCTTCCTTTTCCTCTGGAGATCTTGGGCACACACGCATGCACATGTGTCTGGCGTGAGTTTAAGCCACTGGGTCCAGGACTCGAACCGCAGTCGACCACATGGGAGTCCAGCGACACAGCCATTATGCCAACTGCTGCTGGTCCCTCGTGGGGCTATAAAATTTAATGGCCTGGTTTTCCCCCACACTCTTTGCAAATGTCTTCATTGATTTATTTTCTTTCCATAACCTATGTTCCCAACACAGGGTCTACCTAAAATACAGTGTCCTTGCTCTGATTTTTTTCCTTTTATGAAGAAATGCTTCTAGATTTTTATCTCTTTGTACCTGACTTTAGTTTCTATTTTATTCATCAGGTATATCGCCTTTACAAAGAGAATAATGCTCTTAACTTCAATAAAAGATCATAAAAAGGTAGAGAGCAATAATTTATCCCAGGACAGACACTTCATTTATTTTTTTTTAATTATTTTTTAGATTTATTTTTATTAATATTCTCCAATTTTGACAAAAGAGTGACAGAACAGAGAGGAAAGAAGAGTGAGAAAGCAAGCTACCAGGTCTGGGACTTAAGCTATGGTCAACTATGTGGGAGTCCAGCACCTTCACCACCGTGCCACCTGCTGGCCCACTAGTTTCCTTTAAAATTTAATGATTCAAAAAACAAAAACTATTGTGAACCAGCAGTTAGCGTAATGGCTATGTCGCTGGACTCCCACGTAGTCGACTGCGGTTCGCGTCCTGGACCCACCCGGTGGCTCAAAACTCACGCCGGGCACATGTGCGTGCGTGCCCAAGATCCCGAGAGGAGAATGGAGGAGAAGGGAGTGCGGCGTGACCATACCCTCTGGGGGGTGATTTCTCGCTTTCTGTCTCTATGTCTCTGTCTGGCGAGCGCACACGCCCTATAGCAAAAACCTCTCCAAAAAAAGAAAAAGAAAAGAAAAAAAAAAACTATTGTGTTCTTTCACTGATTTTTGAAGTAGCTTTTTAAAAAGTTCTGTTTTTATCCCTGTGAAACAAGGATAAGGAAAATAGATCATGTCATCTTATACTAGGGGACTTCAAAAAGTTCATGGAAAAATGGAATTAAAGTGTTTTGGTGCAAAACTATTTGAAATTCCTTCACTTTTTAAATAATAAACATTTTCCATGAACTTTCTAAAGATGCTCTGTACTTGGTAAGTAATTTTTATAAGTATATCTAAAGACTATATAAATAACTCGCACTCATTTTACAAATGAAGAATATCAAGTATTTTTGATGACTTAACACTAATTTAAAACCCTCTTTATTATCAATTTCATACTTTTTTCATTTAAAAACTCTGAATAATGAAATGCCCCAAAATAGACACTAAATAATGGACTAGACCAAGTCAACAAACATTAAAACTCCCTACATTTCATAAAAGGCAGATGATAAATGCTCAAGCTTTGGGAGCTCTACAGTCACTGTCCCAACTACTCAACTCTTTTGATGTAGTACAAAATCTGCCACAGACTACAAGTTATTGAGAATGCCGATGGTCAAATAAATCTTTATTATGTATTAAATGAAACTGGAAACTTACATAAAATTCATGTATTCTAGAGCATTCTTTGATTTTTTTCCCAACAATTTTAAAACATAAAAATCATTTCTACCTTGAGCATCACACTAAGAGTTTGCTGATCTCTGGAGTAAACCAATCTACTTCATAAAGTACAAGGTTAACCATGAATAGAATTTATAAAAAAAATTCAGATCAATACTAAATTACTCTGGGGGTTGGACAGAAGTGCAGTGATAACACGGTGCTCTGTGAGACCCACACACGGGAAGGGTTTCCAGGTTTACAACCGAAGACCTCCAAGAACACAACGGGCATGCACATGCCCATGATCTGTGGCTGGCTGAGGTTACAATAAATTGAGGGTAGACTATGGTGTTAAGACCTTGTTGGAGTGCCTTACTCTCCCGATCCCTCTGTTGCTTTTGTTTTTGTTTTTGTTTTGAAGAGGTTTTTCCTATAGGGCGCACACACTCGCCAGACAAAAAGAGAGCGATAGTCCCTCTGTTGCTCTTACTTATGGAAGAAAGAACTTAAAATACTAAAAATAAATTATTCAAATTTTATTTTTAATGTTTCCAAAGTATATACTTCACATTCTTGATTACATATTTTCAATCACTTATAAAAGAATGCCTCAAGAACTAAAAATGCAAATAATACATATAACTTTGCTAGCCAAAATCTCCAGAAGGCATGTGTCCGGTTAAGAACTCTTCTGGATTATTACATATTGTTCACAATAGGAAAAAGAGAGATTATTGTCTAGAATCAGTAAGATTTAGTTCCTCTTCCCAATGTTCACTGCTATAATTTTATTTTGAGCTAGTTAATTAGTAAACTATATGAACTCTGTTATTATGGATGAGTTGTTAAAGCTCCTAAAATCAATCCTTTCCCTTGTGCAACAGAGCCCATCCCTTGCTTCAGGGATATCCCTCTAGCCACCAAGGCCAAAAGCACAGATCTACAGGTCCACAGATGTTAAAATTCTCAAGCCGGACTAGTCCTGACTAGTCCTGATGTCCTGATC